GGCACTTGCTCGTGAATCCTCGAAATCCTGCAAAAAAGGGTGTTGCTGCTATCTCTGTTTTACAGAGAAGGAAACTGAGGCACAGAGAGGTTGAGTAACATGCCCAAGGTGACCCAGCTTGCAGGGAGCAGAGGTGGGATTTGAATCCCTGTCCACGTATTTTGGAGCTCTGGGTGTGTAAGAGTCCTCCTCAAGAACCCAGGACCCAGCTGACCCCTCCTCCAGGGAAAACGTGGATGGCATAAAAAGGTTTTGTTGTCTCTGAAATGTTAACGGGAAAAAAAGAAAAAAGAAAAAAAGAACTCAGTAAATTTTAAAAGAATGACTAAAAGACAACTCCCTTTCCCCCAAGTAACTGAGATCTCGTGAGAGGAAACCAAGACCACGTCCTAACTAACTCTGAGACTCTGAGCTCCCCCAAGTAGGGTCTAAGTCAGGGTCAAGTTTGTATCCCCAGTACTGGAAACCGTCTGGCACGGAGTCAGGAGCCCTCAGATGAATAATGGATGAGGGAAGGAGGGAGGGAGGAGTCAGGAAGATGAGGACGGGGCTGGAAGCTCCAAGCAGGGAGGAGTGCTGACTGCAGCCAGCCCGGAGGGCAGAGCCACACCCCTGCTTGCCCCTACAGCCAAGGCCAAGCCGTGGCCCCCCATGTCTGTGTTGGCGTCACCAGAAAACCCATGAGGGCAAGAGACAGGATGACACTTGGCACTCAGAGAATTCACAAGGGTCGGAGGCTTGGGGAGTCTGCAAAATCTTCTCCCTTAGGGAGGAGGCTGGGTCTGATGGTTGCTCCCCAGGTTTAAGGGCCCCCCATGAAGAGGTAGGAGGGGAGGGGCAGGAAGAGGGGGTGGTAGAGGAGAAAGGGGAGAGAGAGGTACAAAGGAGGGAGGGAGGGGGAGGAGAAATGGTTGATGGGCAGGGAAGCTGCCCTCTGCCTGGTCCTTCTGCCCCTGGGAGGGCAGCATCAGAAAGGACAGCAGCCAGAGCGCTGGAGCAGGACACGGGCCCCAGGGTCCTACGCTGCCCCTTCGGTTGGTGGATGGTGGGAGGTCCAGAGTGTCCAGAGGAGGGCCTGGGGGAGGGCAGGGGGTGTGTGGTGGGGTCAGGGGACAGTGGCTATCAGCTAATTCTCTGGTGCCCGTGGTCACCTATGCCTGTAGTGATGGGGGGGACAAGGGTGCTGCCCGCAGTCCCCAGGATCCCAGAAGTGGATCTCTGTGCAGACAAGTGAGCTGAAGCGCCCACGCTAGCCACCCACATCTGCCTGGGAGGCAGGTGGTGTAGCATAGAGCATGTGGCCGCACAGGTGTGCAGACCTGGGTTCAAATTCTGACCAGCCCGCTTAGCTCAGTGTGGCCAGGCTCACCCCCAAACCCCAGCCGCCTCACCCTGGGAATGTGATGGCCGCCCCCACCTCACAGCAGCCCGAATGAGAGAGGCTCCTCCTCCCTCCTCCCTTGGGTCTGGGCTCTGTCCTGCAGGGTGTGGATGTCCTTCCCCTCCCCCTCTCACAGCCCTCCTCCTGGGGCCTCTATGAGCCTTGGAAAACAGAGATCTATGACTTCCCATCCACAGTGAAACCCAGAGCTTCCCCCCTTCATGGCCCAAGACCCCACATGAGTGGCTCACAAGCCTGGCTCCACGTTAGGGTCATCTGGGGAGATTTTTCTGGATGCTGATGCTTGGCCCCACACCAGTGGATCTGGGCGAATGGATCCAAGCCAGACCCGGGCATCGGTCCTTCCTAACCTCACCAGCCTGCCCAGCCTCGGTGCCCCAGCCTGCCTCCTCCTTGTGCACGCACACACACACACACACGCACGCACGCCCTTCAAGGCCTTTGCTGGAAGGCTCTGTCCTTGGGGGTCCACATGGCTCCCCGCCACTACTCACTGCTCCCCCGATCTTATCAGAGAGCCCCCAACCTGGGCCACCACCTCTCTCCTGACCCTCCTTCATTTGGCTTTGTCACACCGCTGACCCCTTGATGGGCCATACGTTTATTCGGGTGACATCTCTCTAAGCTCTAGGACACCAGGGACGTGCTAGTTTATTCAGTGTCCCCTCCTCAGGGCCCAACACAGTGCCTGGCACCCAATGGCTGCTTGACCAAAATCTGTGTAAAGAAAGTCCCCCTGCGCCCCAGGCCTGAGCTCCTGGAAGGGGAAGGCAGACTCATGCATCTGGGCGTCCTGGCGTCTGGCATAGGACCAGTCAGTCTGGGCCAATTCATGGTGCTGGTGGTTTGCTCTGGAAACAGAAGGGCTGGTGGAATGCCGTGGAGCGTCAAGACCAGAAGGAGGGGTCCAAGCAGACGGAGGTGGGAAGGTGGGCCGCAAGGCACTGAGCTGCTTCCGAGAAGAAAAGGAGGAGGAGATCTGGCCGAAGTGTTGACCACTTAGCTGGCCTGAGCAGCCGGTAGGTGAGGGCAGTGGTGGCCTGTGGGACAACAGCCCTGACCACTGGACCATGCAGTAGGGGCAGGACGACAGGGAGCTCACAGGAAGGGAAGGGTGGGGCAGGGGAGAGTCAGCCCCAGACCCCACCCTGACCCCTGCAGCCAATATCCATGAGCATCTTTTCTCAGGCAGCTGTGGGGCTATTGCAAACCAATGTCCCCGACCAAGGCCAAGTGGGTGTGGTGAAGGGAAAGGCCAGTCAGGACCACAGGCATCCCTGACCAAGCCCAGGAGCAGATGGCACCAGGGGGCCCAGCAGGAGATAGGGAAGTCCCCAAGGCGTGCTTTTGCCCAGGGCACCAGCAAAACGGGCAGGTTCCTGCCTGTGAGAGCCATAAGGCTTAAGGACATGATGGTGGCGGTGCCCAGGGAACATCGGGCTCCAGGATCTGGGCTGCGTTGTTTAGTCTGGACACCGGAACCTTGGGGCCAGCCCTGGAAGCCCGTCTGCCCCTACACCTCATAACCAGAGTCACTGGGCCTTCCAGCCTCCTTCTGAACTACTTCTCAGCTGAAAGGTGTTGAGCACTAACCAACTACAAGGCCTGGGTGCCCCAGGCTTTTCTCGGGCTGCTCTGGCCGCCTTGCTGCCTCCACAGCAACCCAGCCAGGTGAGCCTACACACCTGTTCTTAAAGGGGCAGGCACCTAAGTGAACTGGCGGCCGCCACTGCCTGCAACAGTGCGGACCCAGTGGAGAGCTCTCTCCTGGAGCCCCCGCAAAGCAGCCTGTGCCCCCAGCTCCTTCCTGTGTGGTTTCCCTGGCTCTCAGGGCCCGGTTCTCCACTCCCCCTTGTTTTGGCTCCTTCCCCTCCTGCAAGACCAGCGCTGGCAGGGCGAATAGACCTGGGATTCTTGTTTGCTACAGGACTCTGGGGGAGGTCATTCACACTCACTGTCCTCGCCTGCAGTGGGGAGAGAAGTGGGCTGTTGTGCGGGGTCAATGCGATGATCCCGCACCATGCCCGGCACGAAGTAGGGAGTCTCGCAGACCTCAGGTCTGTCCTGTCTCCTTCCAAACTCTGCTTAAAAGGTCTGACTCCAGTTCCCACCACTGCATTTCCCATCAAGCACTAACCGTACTACCATTTGGTGACCAGCTGCCTAAAACAGGTGAGGAGGTCTGGGCTGGCAGCGGTCGTGCTGGGCCGAAAACCTAGCCCCGGTCTGCCCCTTACTTTCATGACCTCGGAAGACATCACCCAACCTCTGCATTAGCTTCCTTCCCTGAAAGCAGCCAACCCATGCAAGTCTTCAAATTGGAAAGTCCTTATGGCCGGCCAGAAGGCTGCTGGACAGGTAGGGTCAGGAAGAATCATTTGGGGCCTGGCATTCTCACAGTGCTCTTGGGAAAACAAACCTGGACACTGAACTGGAAAGCAGAGCGAGACATGGAGAGCTCTGGGAGAGAGCAAGGAGGTCGTGTGCCCCCAAGGTAAGAGACAGTCTGGGCAACAGAAGGTGGAGTCCAAGTTTGTAGAAATTGCTGGATTGGATTAGGGACATGTGCAACCTCGTTCTGGGCCCTGGCCTTGGCCACCCCCCATGTTGCCCCTCTCCTAAACCTCCCCTTCTTCCCTCCCAAGAAGTCAGGGAGCGGTTTGGTTGGGGGAGCAAGAGGGCAGGTACAGCAGCCGGCCCCCCAGACCCTTCCCCGGGGACTCCCTCTTGCTCTCCTGGCTGGCCCCACCCCTCAGGCCCTGTCCCTGGTCCCTGGGTGAAGGCCTCCTCCATGCCTCCCCACAACACCCAGAGTGAACTTCCGGTTCTGGAGGCAGCAGCTTCCGGCAGACAGCAGGAAGGGTGCGGGCTCCCCTCCCGTGCCCAGGGTGGGTTCACAGATATACACAAACCAAACTCTCTGTCCACTTTATACATATACACATATAAGCAAGCCCCACCCACACTCATGGGGCCTGGGGAAGGGTCTTCCGTCCTCCATCTTTGGCATCAATCTGTCAAAATCAGCTTTTCTGTACAACATGAATTAAATATATTATCTGTCTTTGTGCTGAGTCACGGGACATTCACAGTACAGTGGGGGGAGGAGGGGAAGGACTCATGCGGAGGCCAAAACCCTCCGGGGTTGCTCCTCAGGCTTAGGGGTTGGGCTGGGCAGGGGGCTTGTGGAGAACAGCCGCGCCCGGCCTCCCTTTGGCCTTGCCATTAGAGATGCAGGCAAGTGTTGAGGAGACCTTGGGAATACAACAGGCGTGCTCGGAAGGGGTGGTGAGGGGCCTTCTTTGGGGCTGCGGCCCCTCATGCTCCCAGCTCCCCAGGGTGGGGCTCTGGCTCAAAGCCTGTGCGTCCTGTCCCACCTTCCTCCATGTCAGACTGTGGCATTTACACCCTGCCCTCTGGGGAGGCCGGGGTTATGGGGAGGCTGGTGCCAGGGTGGGGTAGGGCATGGACCGGGCAGTGGGGGCTGGGAAGGAGGGAAGAGGCTGGGTGAGCCCCAAGGAGCTGAGGCTGGTCTGGTACCAGAATCAGGGTGACCCTGCCTATCGGGGTGTCATCCCCCGGACCCTGACTCGGGTTGGGTTTTCAGGGCCCAGGCATGTTAAGCAGGAGCCACTCTTGGGGAAGGGTGGACAAGTAGGAGTTTGGGTCAGAGCTCTAAGGGCAGTGATGCTCTACCCCCTGCCGATTTAAGGCAATCCCATTCAGGCTGGGGGGCGGGCAGGGGCCAGCTGGTGGGACCAGGCCGCCTCTGGACTCAGCCGGGCAGCCAGCAGCATATGGGGCCTCTGGCCAGGAGAGGGAATGGGGACAGGCTGAGGATGTAGAGAAGGGCTGGTCTGCTCTGGGGACACCTGCCCTCCAGGTAGAGGCTGGGTTTTGGCGCCCACCACAGCACCCAGGATTCCAGAGTCCCAGACAAGTGCCCTGCGCTTTCTGCTCTCAGAGGGGAAGAAAGAGAGTGACGTGTGCCAGGCAGCCCCTGGCAGGAGCTATGGTAGGACCCACATTCAGTGCACCCTGCTCAGCCGGGCACCCGGATTCTCCCGTCCATGTGGGTCCTACACTGGTGCCCAAGCACCTCGGGGTGGGAAAGGGTCGGTGGTCCCTCCCTGCCCCTCATCTCCTCCCAGGAAAGCAGCTCAGGCCCAGCTCCGGGGCCAGCGACAGAGGGGTGGGTGTCGAGGAGAAGGCCACAGGGGAGGCATGTGGGAAGCAGGAAGAGGAAACAGCCGTGGCCAGCAGGGCTGCCAAGAAGTCTTCTGGGCCGGCCATTAGCCCTTGTTCCTCAGTCCTCCCAGGGCCATGCAGGCCCCCTCCTGTCCGTCCTCGTGCTCTCCGAGAACTCTCGTCTTTCGTCCCTGGGGCTGCAGCAGGGTGGGCCCGGCTCAGAAGATGCTCTGCCGCCGGCTCTTCCCTCGGCCTGGAGAACAGAGTGGGGGGTGGGGGTGTGGCTGCAGAGAGGGGGCTGGGCAGCAGGGTGCCCCAGGGACCAGGCGGAAGGGCAACCTGGGGGGCTACTCTGACAGGGCTAGCAAAAGCATGCTCCTGGAAGCCAGTCGGTTCTGGGTTCAAATCCCATCCCTGTTACTGACCAGCTGTGTGAAACTGTCCTCACCTCCCCGTGTCAATGAATGTGATGATGAAACGGGGACCACGAATAGTATCTATCTCAGGGCTCCTGGCTGGCTCTGTCAGTAGAGCCCGTGATGTGTGATCTTGGGGTCATGAGTTGGAGCCCCACATCGGGTGTAAAGATTACTTAAAATCACACACACACAAAATACCTACTTCAAAGGGTAATACTGTACTTGTCACATCTGAGGCCATCAGCTGTTCTAGAGACATTCTCCCAGAATGGAGGTGGGAGAATTCTAGAATGGAATTGTGGAGAATTCCAGAATAGAGAGAACCCAGAACGGAGGTGGGTTTGCAGACAGAATGTAGCCCAGAGATCGTGCACCTTCCTCAGGGCTCCGTCAGATGCCGTGTTGGGGCTGACAAGGGACACGCTGTGAGAGGAAGCCTGGGCAGGAGATAGGGAAACCAGTCCCTTCCCTGCTCTCCCTGGGCCCCCCAAAGGGAGGCCAACGTTGTGGGGAGGCCATGCTGACTGCCCACTCTGTTCTTCAAGAGGGAGGAGCAGCCTGTCCTGGTCTCTTCTAATAAGGGGCGGGGGCGGGGAAGGCTCGAGCCCCTACCTGGCTGCTGGAAGGCCAGGCCCCGATAGCCCGGGTCCTTCTGGAGCTGGATCTCCTTCAGGGAGAAGATGGACGCCGCTGTGGGGAGAGAGGAGAAAGGTAGGGAGAGGGCCGAGCCCCTGGGGGGAGCCCCCACACTCACCGAGGGCCCTCTGGCTGGGGAACCCCTTCATTCAAGACTGCCCCAGGAACACCTAACTGGGCCTTTCAGGCAGCTTCTTAGATCCCACAGTTTTGCCCTTAGTTACAGTCGGGAACCCAAGGAGGGGAAGTCCTGTGCCCAAGCAGCTTGGCTGCGCTGGGGGCCTCCGGCCTCTTTGCTCCAGCTCTTCTACCCACACCTGCCGCCCCATTTCTTTGGCTCTGAGGTGACCCTGGTCCCTCCCCAAACCTCCCCTCACTCACTGTCTTCAAGCTGGTGCACACGCTCTCCCAGAGACCGGAAGTAGGGGTGGTTCAGGGCTGCCTCTGCTGCCAGGCGACTCTTGGATTCGTACTGAAAGGTACAGGGTGGGCTATGGGGCCCTGGCTGGGGGACTCTGGGGACCCCTCAGTGCAGCAACTCCTACACTGAGTTAGATGGCCAACATGAGGGGGGCCCGCGGGGTCTGCTGCCAGCCTCCCCCTCCAAGCCAGGCTGAGGCAGTCTCCGGGCTCAGCTCCCAGATCTCCAGCCACCAAGAGAAAACCAGAAATGGGACTTCCTGAGTGACCTCCTCTTGGGATCATAACATTAATAATAGCAATACTAACACGTAATACCAACAACTCCCCTTTACTGTGTGCTTCCTTTAAGGCAGGTCCCACACTAACTGTGTTCCATTATCTCAGTGTGTCCTTGCGACCAGCTTAGGAAACATGAATTATCAATCCCTCTTTGCAATGGAGGAAATGGAAGCTCAGGAAAGTTCTAGAACTTGCCCAAGGCTACATAGTAAGAGGGTTTGAACTGCGTTTGAGTTCAGAGTGCGCCCACTCCCACCTCTGTGTGGGAACCAGTGCTGGGGGCGGGGGCTGGGGGTATGGGGATGGGGTGGAATATGGGGGAGGGTGTGTGCTGTGAGCTCAGAGGCGGGTGGAGGGCCCAGGTGGGGTCTCGGGCCTTCAGGCTGCCTGTCCCTGGGCCCCGCTGGGGGCACACTCACCAGGAGGAGGCTGGTCAGAAGGTGGATGCCATCTGTGTCCAACCTGCAGGAGGAAGGAACTGGCACAGGCCTGGCCTGGTTGGGGGACTGGGGGGCTGGGGGCCAAGGAGGGGTCCCCCACCTCCAGGAGGGACAGCCCGGGCCAAGACCAGCAGAGAAGGTGTGGGGCAGCAGGGCTACCTGGGAGCATGGCTGATGAGTGGCTGCGGGAGGTACCGCGGGAAGTTGTAGGCTCTGAACTCGGACAGGGCCATCACGCCGGGCCACGTCTCTTCCGTAGGGGTCCCTGGGGAGATGAGAAGGCATGGGAAGCGCACAGTGAGGGGCCAGGGCCACGGGCGACTGGGAAGGGTGCAATGAAGGAGGTGGGGGCAGGCAATGGCGAAGGCCACAGGGGTCGCTGCCCCGTGGAGAGCGAGTGGGAGCCCCTCTTCCCAGTCCCTATGTGAGCCTGGACTGGACGCAGTTCTGGCGCCCCCTGGTGGCGATAGGGTGGGAGCGGCCGGAGACTGACCGAGGAGTCGGAAGATGAGGTGCAGCTCCTCCTTGACCGTGGAGCCGGGGAAGAGGGGCCTCCCCGTGGCCATCTCGTAGTGGATGCAGCCCACGCCCCTGCGGGGAGCAATGGGCAGGGGCGGCGTCAGGCCGGGCCTCTTCGCACCCGCCCTTCCTAGGGCTCTTCCACCAGGACACCAAGGACGCCCTGCCATCCTGCCATCGTGGCTCCAAGGGTCCTGGCTCTGGGGTGGGCGGCCCAGGACAGCGGAGGCTAGCCCAGCTGCATCCGCCACTGGGGCCTCTTTTGGGGGCTCCTCTGGGCTCTAGGACGCTTTAACCTCTCCCCTCACCCCATAGAGTTTGGGTCTGCACCCTCGTAGCAGTTTCTCAAGCAGCGCTATCTCAGACTCTGTCCCACGGAAGAGGCGAGTCTGCAAATCCACTCTCTTGGGGACCCCGGGGCATAGAACACAGTGGCATTAATCAGAAACCTGGGTTTCAGCTTTAAAATTGGGCTGATTTTTTCTTCATTCTACACCAAATCATATGCATGTTAATTTTAACACACACACACAAATAATAGATCCTTTCCAAAATTTTCAGTAGAACTGATGCTTGGGGAAGATTCGTCGTATTTACGGTGGTGGCCCTCCCGCACCCTCTGGGAACCTCCCAGGGATCCCTGCAGCAGTATTTCAGAAGCAGAGCCGGGGAGGGTCTACTTAGAGACCCGGGAACGCTAACGGAGTCCAGACTTAATTCTTTCCCATCCGGTTACTTCAGGAGGAGGTCACATGGCTTCTAGTCAAAGGAGGTTAGGCAGTTCTTGGCAGAGGGCCTTGAGGCAGCAAAAGGGAATGTGGAGGTGTGGGAAGCCCCCTGGCCCTGGTCCCACAGCTCACTCACCACATATCAATGGGGGTGGAGTACTCGGTAGACCCCAGCAGCACATCAGGAGGCCTGTACCACAGGGTCACCACCTCATTGGAGTAGGTCTTCGTGGGCACTGACTTGGCCCGCGCCAGCCCTGGGGATGGACGGGTCACTGAGCCTCCCAGCTCCCTGCCCCCCACCCACACCCCCCCTCCGGCGAAGACCGTTGGGGACCCGCCCCCTGGCCCCGGCGGGCCCGGCCCTCACCGAAGTCAGCCAGCTTCAGCTCCCCCCTCTCGCTAATGAGCAGGTTCTGCGGCTTCAGGTCTCGGTGCAGGATTTTGCGGCGGTGGCAGTAGGCAAGGCCCCGGAGCAGCTGGAACATGAAAATCTGAGGGAGGAGGGGATGAGAAAGGTAAGCAGTGGAAGGCAGGTGTGTCACATCTGCGAGAATCTATGTTTCTGCCCTAGGGCTGGGGTGGGGGGGGGTGCAGTGAGGTCCCTGGGGAGCTACGCTGGTTCACCACCCGCACTGAGCCCCCTCCTGGGCTCCATGCATCCAAGGGAGTCCCATCCACAGAGGAGGGCCCCAGGTGTGTGGAGGAGTCAGCAGGGTGCTGGAGGCCAGAGCATTGTGTGGCCGGGAGCTGAGGGGGCACCACACAGGGCCAGGAAGCCCACCGGAGTGGGGAGCCATGCACTTGGTTCTCTCACAATGGCCAGAAGGGGTCTTTCCTCCCTTCAAGCTTCTCCACAAGCCTCCTTTCATCCATATACCCATTTTACAGATGGAAAACATGCTCAGAGTTGGAGAGGGAATTTTGTATCATCGGCTAGATGGTGGCAGAGGGTGCGTGTCTGCACTGGGGGGGGGAGGGTGTTAGCACAGTTCCTGGGATTCCCTGAATGGCATTGACTTTGCACGCCCTCATACCTTGGAAGGTCTGAGCAACCTCGCAGCTGAGCCCCTGGTGGTAAGAACGGTGCCTGTGTTGGGCTTGAGAACAGATGGGGACCGAAATGGGGCACCCGGGGGCAGGCGGCCCTTACGGAGGCCCTCACCTTGACATTGTGCATGCTCATGAGGTTTCCGCAGTGGTCCAGATACTGCTTCAGGTCACTGTCCTGCAACACAGAGCCTGCTCAGCCCTGACCTGTCTTGACCTCTAGCCGGAAGCTCCTCCCTGGGCAGGGCCCAGGCTCTGAGCTGCCCTTACACCCCCAGGCCTACTCCTGTATGGGAGCATCTGAGAACCTGATTCTAGAACAAGGCCTGGGTTGCCCCCCACCCCGCCCCCACGCCCCACCGCAGAGGAGAGAAGCTGCTAGCTCCAGCCCAACTCACCAGGTACTCAAACACCAGGGTGAGAGACCGCTCCGTGTGGATGAGGTCATGCAGGGTCACAATATTGGCATGCTTTAGGTTCCTCAGGAGAGACACTGTGGGGTGACAGGCCTGCCTGGGTCCCTGTGGCTCCACACACCGCTCACACCCTCTCTTCCTGGGATCAGCCCCTAGCAGACCCCACTCCGGCAATGACCTTCTGCCCCGAGGCTCCCACTGCGGCTCATGTCAATGAAGCCCTCCTCCCAGAGCCCCCAGGAGCTCAGGACCCTAGGGTGCTGTACCCTCTCGGATGGCCGTGCAAGGTGCCCCCTCCTCGTGCTCCAGCCGGATCTCCTTCAGGGCCACGAGGTTCTCCGTCAGCTTGCTGCGCCCTTTGAAGACCGTGGCATAGGTTCCCTGGGGACGAGAACCCCCACAGCGCCGGCCACACTCAGGGTGCACACTCCTCTGTCCAGCGCCCTCCTCTTTGTGTGTCTGCTTGGGCTGTGCCCTTCCCCCTTCTTCTCCTTTCACTGAAATTCATGTTTGCTCCAAGGCCCATCTCTCTCTGACTCCGTCCCTCCCTCCTCCCTGTTCCGAATGAACCGTCCTTCCCGTGAGCCCCCAGCAGGTGAGGCGCCCTTCTGTTAGAACGCCAGTTTTGTTCTTCCTTATGTTGATGTTTACAGGTAGGTCTCCTCTCTGGGTTCCTGGAGGGAGACGGCTGTGTCTTCCTCCTGTCTGTAAACCTCTGGCTGCCCGAAGGCCCTGCCACAAAGCGGGGCGCAGTGGTAACAGAGACAGCTAACAGCCCACCGGGCGGCCCCTGCGCCAGGCACAGTGTAAGCGAGCATGCAAGCTTATTATAGTAACCGAGCCCGCCCTCGCGACAGCCCTAGGACACACAGCCATCGCATCTCCATTTGACAGAGAAAAAAAAAAAAAAAAAAAAGCACAGAGCGGTCACATAACTGGCCCAAGGCCACAGAGTTAGTAAATGGCAGAGACAGGATTCAAACCCAGAGAAATAGTTGCAGGAAAAACAGACAAACTGGATTATGCCCAGAGCCCACGGGCCCCACGCCATCCTCATGCCTTCCTCCAGGACTCGGGCCCCCCTCAACGCCTGCAAAAGGCTGGGCCAGATTGGATGGCCAAGATGGTATGTCTCCACGGGGCAGGGGCAATAAGGCAAGACAGGGCAGCACGGGAGAGCCTGTCCCTGCTCCTCACCGCCCTGCCCAGCCTCTTACCTCCCCCAGTTTGTCCAGTTTCACATACGTTTCCAGTTTTCCAAAGCCGATATCTGACTGAGAGGGAAAGACACAGGGTCCTGTGAGTGTGAAGGCCACACAGCCCGACGTGCATGACACCCCCCCAGCCAGCCTCCAGGAGGGAAGGGAATGAGACCCCCATCAGGGAGAGGGAACAACAGAGCCTAGCACGGATGAGTGCAGCCACAAGTCCTGCCTCTTGGTCTCTCCCCTGTCCCCATGATAAAGGAAGGAGCCCTTGGAAGTATGAGTTTCTTCCTCCCCTGGCAGTGGAGGGGGCGGAGTCAGGGCCCAGGCACCTGGGATTGCCACGCACCTTCAAAACCTATCCGTCTCCACCATGCTCAGACCACTAGAGCCTCGTGGGCAGAACCTGCCTTGTTCCCCACTGTACCTCAAGTGTCCAGTTCAGAACCCGCCTCCCCAGCAGTCTCTCTCATCAGCATACTTCCTCTAGGTCAGTGGTACCCGACCCTTAGCAACGGAGTTTCCTGGGCCCCACTACCCGGAGTCTGACTCTGTAGGTATCTGGAGTGGGGGGCCAGAGTCCATGTTTTGCAAGGGGTTCCCAAGGAAATATGATAAGCAGCCGTGACCGGAAAGCACATGCCAGCTGGTCTAGGGGTCTCACCGCAGTGGAAACCGTGGGGGCCCAGAGAGGGCTAGGGGCTCTGCTCCAGCCCTGGTGGGACTCACCTAGGGGAATGGACGTCGCTGACCAAGGACTACAAGCTTGCGAATCAGCTGAGACCAGCAGGTGGCGCCAGAGGCCCACAAACTGCTGCAGGACTCCGCGGGGCCAGGCAAACCCCATCTGATGTGTCCAAGCTGGGTCTCCCCTGACCCTCTTAGGACTCACCAAGGATGCTCGGCGGGACATGCGGCTGAGCGGCTTGGGTAGGTCCGGACTCTCCAGCTGTAGCTTCTGCAGGAATTCCTGGGGTAGGCGGATGTCCATGGGCAGAGACAGCCTCTTACTGATGTCCTGCAGTGGCCAGGATAAGAGGGGGACACCTGTGCTTGCTCCAGGTTACCTCGTGCTGTGGGACCCTCACTCATCACCCAGGACCTGGCTTTCCCCTGTAGAGCAACCCCAGCAGGGCCAAACCACAGGCTGTGACCCCAGGCTCAAAGCTGCTTCAAAGATGCGCTCAGAGACATATGTGAACACGCAGGAGTTGCTGTGTGACCTCAGGAGGTTCCTTTCCCCTCTCTGGGCTGCAGTATAACCATCTAAAGAATGAGATTCCAACGGATAAGAAGCCTATTTTTCTCATACGTGGGTCCATGCCTACGAGTCATAAGAACAGTAGTCAAGTTGTCTAGCCTCCTATGTACCAGGATTGCTCTAGGTACTTGGCATATATTAACTTGCTTAATCTTCCCGATGACCATTTTAACACAAGGAGACTGGTATGCAGAGGTTGAGACAGGTGACAGAGATGACCGACAGCAGAGCTGGGATGTGAATCCATGAAGTCGGGGTCCCAGGCGGCCACCCTCCTTGGGCATATACTGTTGCCGGGTCCCCGGGGGAGAGCCCATTGCCCCTCACCTCCATGGAGAAGCGGCGCTGGTTTTGCCGCCGGTACTGCATGCCGGGGGACAGCTGCCCAGGGTCCTCCCCACTGTCCGTCGGGGAGAAGGTGCTGGACTCCGGCTGGGGGTCTCTGCCAAGAGGCCCAAGCTGCAGGTCTGAGAGGGGGAGGCGTCAGCTGCCCACCCTGCCCCTCCGCCCTGGGGCTGGGGGTGGGGGGAAGGGAGACTGCCTCCCACCTCTGTCCTCCCCCAGCCATGAGGGCCGGGTCAGGGAGGGCCAGGGCGGGGCAGGGGGGCGACCGGACCCCTCACCCTCATTGCGCCGGTTGTGGAGCTGGTTGAACTGCTCTGTGAACTCGGCCAAGGACTCCTCGATGGTCTCGGTGCGCGGCACGGACAAGGAGAGACGACGCTTGAAGTTCTTCATCTTGTTCATGGTCAGCGGGGCCCGGGCGGTGGGGCCTGAGACGGGGGGGGGGCGGTGGGGTTGGGGGCAGAGTGGGTGAGAACAAGGCATGAGGCCGGGCTGACAGCAGATGCGAATTCTGGGTCTGGGTCTCCACTGGCCCATCGAGCTCTGAGGCCTGCACCTCGGAAGGCCTTCACCGAGATTCCAGGACGTAGCCCTCTCCCTCCCTGAGAATCCCGCTCCCCCACCACCACCCCTCCCCCGCCCCCCACCCCTGTGCCTGGGGAGGTAGTCACACTATGGACTAATCAGTGTAGCAAACTGCGGCCTAATAGCGGTATGACGTGCCAGCAAGATCCTGGGGGCCTCACCAGGGCCAGACCTTTGAGCTGCTGGAGGTCTAGAGAATTCTCCAAAGAGGCCTGGAGTGGCAGGGAGGGGACCAGAACTCGGGCCAATAGCTCTTCACCAACTTGTGTGTAAGAGCCTGAGTATGTCAACAGCCAGTAAGTCTTACTGACGCCCAGCGGCTGAACCCAGCTCAGCCCGCGGCCTCATGACAGAGTCTGGTCCAAACCCCACTTCAGCCTCACACTGACACCTTGAGGTCCCTCTCTGGCATGTCCTAGGCCTCGGGGAGGCAGGAAAGGAGAAGGGACAAGGGAGGGGACATGTGCCTCTGAGCTGGCCCAGTGCCGTCTCTCCAGCTGAAATGTGGGAGGTCAGGAGCAGCTGAAGGTCTCAGGGGAAACACAGAAGCTTGCGGGAAAAAGAGGGCCCCAGGGACAGGAGGCTGAGGCCCTCTCATGCCAGAGCCCTGAGGGGGCAGAGTGTCCACGCTGCAGAGAACATAGCGCAGGGAAGGGTGGGCTGCTCTGTTCCCCTCAAGGCCCCTTCCCGAGCCAGAAAGTATTCCCTCCCGGGGCTCCCCAGCCCTCGTGCTCTGTGAATGAGGGGGTACCCTGCTGTCCACTCAGTTAGACTGCCTCTTCCTGCACACTCCTCCTTCCGTATCTGGCCCTGAAAACCCACCTGCCTCTCCAGTCACCACCACCCCCCACCCCGCCACTGCCCTCCATGATGTCCTAAGTTCTCTGTGCAGCTGCCCCTGGTCCTGCTCGGCCCACACCTCCCTGGTGAACAGAGGACCAAGAGGCGTCCCAAGCGCCCCACCGACACTGGCCAAGAAGGCATCCAGGGCCAGTCCTGTGATGGGAGAGGGGCCACCCCGCACCCCCTCCCAGCTTTTACCTGAACAGCCAGGCACAGCCCTTTCCCAATCACTAGCTGGTAATCTGAGGCCAAAGACCCCTTCTGAGTCCTCCTGGTTTAAGGGGTTCTGGGTCAGAACATGTTCGCTTTGCTTCACTGTCATCCTCTGTCCTCAGCCAGCCCGGAGAGGGCTCTTCCCTGGGCCAGCAGGCTCCTGGCTGCCCCCACACTCCCGGGGCAGCTACCTGCAGCAGCTCTGAGCACAGAGATGAAGGGGGGTGGCAGCCAGGCCCTCCTCCCTCAGGTTGGCATGGCAGAGCCATCTCTGTCCCTGGGCCCCAGAGTCGCCCTAGGTTCAGTTCAGACAGGTGAGGACCGAGTAGCTACTACGTGCTGGGTCACATGTAGTCACATGGGGAGTGAGTGTGGTCCCTGTTCTCCAGGAACTCAGGGGCTCCTGATGCCCCCTCTAAGAAGGCATCCGAAGCTCTTCTTCCAGCTTCCTTGGCAAAGCCCAACACCTCGGACTTTCCTGAGTCCCTGTCCCTAAGCTCATTCCTGCCCGCCAGCCTCCGCCTCTCCTTCCTGGCCCCCTGCGCTCACAGGCCTGCCGTCTACAGGACACACAGACAGACGTGAAGCTCCCAGCGGGCACTCACCCTGCCTTATCCTGCCGTGTGCAGGCGGCCGGGGGCCAGAGCGTGTCCCCTAACAGAAGCTTCGTGACAGTGGCCGCACATGGGTTCCAGGGACAGGGGGACCTAGATGTGCCCTACCCGTTGCCGGACATTTCCCAGCAGGACAGGAGAGTGGAGATGTCCCCACTGGACAGGTCAGTTGTCTACAGAGTTGTTGAACCTCAGTAGCACCAGGGAGGATTTTTAAAAATTCAGATTCCTGGGTCTCCCTGTCAGATTCTGGAACTGAAGACGGTGACTGTGAAAATGAATTTTTTTTAAAAAGCATCCCCGGGCACCTGAGGAGCTCAGTCAGTTAAACATCTGTCTTCAGCTCAGGTCATGATCCCAGGGTGTTGGGATTGAGTCCCCCATCAGGCTTCCTGCTAAGCAAGGAGCCCATTCCTCCCTCCGCCTGCCACTCTCCCCTATTTGTGCCCCCCACGCTCTCTGACAAATAGATAAATAAAATCTTAAAAAAAAAAAAAAAAAAAGCATTCTTAGTGATCTGGAGCCTTGGTGAGAAGCATCTGAGGTCTGGGTAAGGGATGGTAATTCACCCAGGATTCCAGATTGCCCTACTGTGCTGAGACACGGTATCCTCCGAGCTGGGAAGAAGGAAGGCAGACGTCAGGCTGAGTGGAGCAGCAGAGCCCCCCCCCTTTCCCAACACCCCACAACCCAGAAGGGGAAGAAACATCTGCCCTGCAGACTGATGTTCCATCTCGGTCATGGTTAGCCTAGGGCGATGGGGGGAGCCAGGCACTTGGCTCCTTTAGGTCTGAGCTCTGCCAAGAGGCAGTAGGCACGCCCCCTTCTAAAAACAGGGCTCCCCCATAAAGCCGTCCTGCCGTCTGGGATTTATGGGATGGCATGTTGGGTTTGTGTTCAGGAATCCACCAGTAGCTGCCATAAATCTTATACCCTTGCTCTTGCCTGTGGGGGAGGGGGGCTCATCAGAAGCCTTCTAGGAGGGAGACCCTCGATTTCTGCAAAACAAAAGAGAACCAGCCCTGAGTGGCACCTGTTCCTGCCGTCCCCCTCAGCTCCGTTAGGAGCAAGGGGCCACCAGCTGGGGCCTGGGGTGCGATGGAGGGTGGGCTGGGGAGCTAGAAGGAGGGCGAAGCTGAGACGGCATCTCAAGCAGGAACGCAGGGCCAGGCGATCAGAGCGATGGAGACCGGCTATCTGCCACCCACTTGAGAGACCCAGAGGAAGCAGTATTCCCTGGAGCAGGACAGGGATGGAGGTCAGATGTAAGGATGGACTTACTGATGGCGACAGCAAGGCAGGCGGCAGGGGTGGTGACCACAGCAGAGAGTGGACGCCTTGCTCTGCTGGGGACAATCGGGGCATTGAACCCAGCAGGGTCTTGGGTGTGACAGGGCAGACCGAGTCGTGAATGCTCTCTGTTGTCCCCTGGCTCAAGACATAAGATGCCTCTGTCACTTTTCCCTGGAGAGAATCAGCTCTTCAATTTTGGGGGGTCAATGGGGAAGGGAGACAGGAAAAAGGCCTGTCACCTTGTTGCTGTCTGCCCCTCACCCCCATCTGGGGACAGAATGGCTCAGTGTGACCCAGCCTGAGGCCAGCCCCAGGCCGGGCACAGTGTGGCCTTTGTCCCCAGGCCAGGGAGCCATCTGGGGCTGTCCTCGTGCAACTGGTGCCAGGGGAAGAGGGAGCTGGGCATCCAGGGATGCTGGTCTGGCCGGGCTGGCCGGGGAGGTGTCGTAGGGGAAAAGGCCCCCTCGGGAACCATGGGCACAGACCTGCCCCCTCCCCACAAGCAGACCCCGCAACCAGCCCTTCCCTCCTGCCCGCCTGCCAGGTAAGCCAGGAGTTCCCAGCTTACCTCCTGTCATTTCCTCCCGGGCACACACCGACCAGCCCAGAACTTCCTGCTGGTGTCAGAGCAGCGGGTGGCCCAGGAGAGGGAGGAGCCAGGCCCGGAGAGAGCTGACACTTGCCCAGAGGCCACCATGTGCCCGGTGAGAAAGGACTGAACACGAGGAGCCGCAGCAGGAGAAGCACTTACAGACCCACCGCTCCATCCCCTTGCTGCCCCGGGGAGGACACTGAGGCTCCCAGATGAGACCCGACTTGCTCAAAACCATACAGCAATTTCCTGCTTGTTAGTAAGGGCCCAAACTCCGTGACCACGTTGCTCCCTGCTTCTCCTAACGGGAGCCCTCCCCACCCTGCCCTTCCCTGGGGCCTAGGCTGTAAGAGCTGTTTCCACTTCCGGGTCTCCTCCAAGTCTCCTCCACCCCCACCCCGAATTAAAAGCCAAATTCATATTCTGGTGCCACCCTCTGCAGGGCTGGAGGGTGGCACTTAGGGTAAATAATGTCTCCGAGCTTTGGCGCCAGTCCTTCAGTTGGCAAGTAGCTATTAACAGAATCACATGCCAGGCACTGTTGTAGACCCTGAGAATCCACGTATGAAAGAATCAGACATAATTTCTGCCCTCGTGGCACTTCTATTTGAATGGTGGGGAGCAGCAGAGACAAGAAAATAAATACATAACCTGCACAGGAAGTTAGATGGTGACAGGTGCAAAAGAAAGCAGCAGAGAAGGATGGGGGTGGGGAGGGTAGGATGTTGCAATTTGAAACAGGGTGTCGGGAAGGTCTCCCTGGGAATGTGACATCTCAGGAAGAATTCCAAGGAGTTGTAAGCAAGGGAGTTAGTCATGTGGAATCCAGGGGAAGCAGATCAGTGCAGGAACAGGAGGTGCAAAGGTCCTGAGGCAGAAGTGAACTTGGTATGCTCTAGGAACAGCAGTGTGGCTGCAGAGGAAGCCATAGAGGAGTGCAGAGGAGGCCTTAGGGGAGCACAGAGCAGACCGTATGGGCCCCCACAGGGAACAGGAGAGTTTCAGCAGCTGCAGGATGTGGTCCCACTTAGATTTCAACAGGCTTCCTCTGGCTACTGTGTTGAGAACAGATTGTGTGGGCAAGGAAGGAAGCAGGGAGCCTATCGGGAGGCTACTGGAGAGATCCAGGTGACAGAAGGTGGTGGCTGAGAGCAGTGTGGGAACAGTGGAAGCGTCTGGCATTTGGTTATATTTTGCAGGTAGAGCCCAAGGGATTTGCAGAACGGGGTGTCAGCGAGGAGTCGAGCAAGACCCTGAGGGGCTCTGGCTGGAGCACCTGGGAGGATGGAGTGGCCACCGCTGGACACGGGGAATGCTGGAGCACAGGTTCAGGAGGCAAGACCAGAAACTGGGTTTGGGGCCAGTGTTTCATGTCCATCAGACATCTGAGCGCAGATGCCGGGTGAGCTAACATGACACAGCCCTAGCACGAGGAGAATACTTCCCTCCTCCTCTCGCAAGCTCCGGCTCAGACGCAAAGATGTGCCGGAAAGGAGGCCCCCGATAACACAGGAAACATGTTCTTCACAGACCTCCTTACAGCATATAAGGGACCCCCCGATGGAAAAGCGCAGGAAACCGGGCAGTCCCGAGGCACCCGACTAAGAGGGAAAGACCAGGCGGGCAGGGTCTCCCCCAATGCCGACTTAGACTGACAGGGCAGAGGACCCCAGCCTCCCAGCTGACTGCTCTCAGCCCCGCTCTCAGCCCCGGTCCTTGCAAGGGAGAAAGCTCCCCAGAGCAGGCCGGGCCAGCCCCCAGGCCCAGTGTCCAGGGAGGGCGGACACAGCCGGCTGCCCCCAGGACAGCCTCTACCAGGTCCCAGCCCTACCTGCTCCAGGACCGGGCCACCTGCCAGGCCCTGCCAGCGAGACTCCGGAGGCAGAGGAGGAGGTTGGCAGAGCCTCCAGGGAAGCTGGGCAGCCTTTCCCTCCCGGAAGGAGGTATGGAGGGCAGCAGCCGGATTCCTCCCCTAACCTCCAGGGAGCCAGGCTCTGAGAAGCCTCTCTCAAGCAAACCCCTCTGAGAAGCCCTTTCCCTCCTCCCTGAATGAAGCCCCAATTCACAGCCTGCACCCAAGGTCCTTCAATTGAGCCTCCTGCCTCCAAAGGCTATGGTCTCCCCGCTTCCCACAACCCAAGCTCAGCTCCAGTACCGGTACCCACGCCCACATTTAGGCCAGCTCAGGCCGGGGGTCTGGCAAGGCTTCCCCGACCCCCAGGGCCACCAGGCGGCTGGGAGATCACATCCTCTCCCTGGCTCTGGCGAGGACTTTTCATGCCTCTGTCTCTGGGGCCACTCTGCTCCATCGGCCTGGTGCTGCTGACAGACATCACACAGGCCCACGGTGAGCACCTTCTGGGCTCCAGGAACGAGTCAGGTGCTTCTCCAAGTCCCCCTGTCTCAGTCTCTGAGGGCCCAGGGGCAGGGCCTGAGGCTCTAACTCACAACTGCCCACTCTCGGGAGCCTAGAGGGGCTGAGCCTTGGTCTCAAAGGCTGATCACTGGCCAGGACACCCTCTGCCACCCTCTCCCTGCCCCGCCCCCCATCTCAGTCACTCTGCCACTTTGGGCCTTTGGGCGGGTTTCAAAAGAACAAGAGGCCACGGCTGACCGAGCTTGCAGACGTCATAAGCTGGGACTTCAGAGACACTCCCTCCTCCCAGGGAGAACCAAGCCTCGGGGAGCCCTGTAAGATAGCATCTCTTCCTTCATCCTGCAGCTGACCCGGCCCAGGGGGCCTTGGTTTCCCTGCGACAAACCACAGGGGCAGTCAGCAGCAGCAGCCCCGGGGGGCCTCATCACTGACCTCGCCCTGTGCCAGCTCGGCCTGGAGGAGATGCTGGGAGCCTGGGGCCTCCTGGGTGGCCAGAGAGAGGCCTGCAGCCGGCCAGTGAACAAGTGCTTCCCACTGCCTCTGCTGGGAATGCAGGAAGCAGGCGGGGAAGGCCTTCCGGGAGCATGCAGGGCTGACCTGCAGGAAGCATGGAAGGAGGGCAAGTGTCTGAGGCTCTGGGACGCCCCTGCTCTTCCAGCAAAGGTACCCCTGCAGGGTCCTACCTGATGGGAGCATCCTAGAGGGAGGGCCACGTGCTGGCCAGGCCTGCGCTCCAGAATTCTCTGCTGCTTGGAATATGGGAGAAATGTCAGCTTTCCCACTCACCAGCACCGTGACCTGGGAAAACACCCCATGCCTCGGTTTCCCAGTCTGCCAAATGGGGAGAATATTTAATCCCCGATCCAACTGTCAAGAGACTCCCAGACTTAACTTTCTTGGCTGCTTTCGGACGATGTCACTCCCGTCTTTAAAATCCTTCAACCTGACAATGCCCTCAGACAAAAGTCCAAACTCCAGGGCCCAGCAGACTGGGCCTCTTGTGTTTTGATCTGTCTCCTTCTCGAGTCTCGGCTCTCACCGCTCCCTGGAGGGTCCAGTTTTATGGGGTGCACTTGTTGTTCCCAGAGTAAACCGCACTCGTGCCCCACAGCTTTGCACGTGCCGCTCATTTGGCCAGGGACGCCCTTCCTCATTGTTCCCTTAGTAAGACGACGTCCAAACTCAAGTGTCACTTCCTCCGCAGAACCACCTGTGACCACAATTGGGACGCTTCCTCCTTGTCACTCCTAAACCAGCTTGCGTACCTTTCTCACCTGACTGTGACGCCCTCCAGGATGAGAGCAGGGTTTCGATGAGCTGTTTGCCCAGTGCCTTACTCGAATGAGTGAGGCCACAGGCCACTGAGCCCCAAAGGTTTATTTAAAACTCTTTCCTCCACATACATACGAGGCCCATTGAGGACAAAGGCGGTATACGCTGGTTCTCTTCCTCCTTTCATCCGGCCAAGGCCCATTTCCAGGTTTATCTCACGAGGCCAGCTCCATACCTAGTAGGTGGGTCCTGAGCACACCTGGGGTGGGCCCAGCCCTGCCCTCTTCCTGGGCAAGCAGAGCAAGGCCTGCAGTCCAGAGAACCAGCCCAAGACCCCAGACATCCTTGGTTCTCTGGAACAGCGGGACTGGTGGGCCAGAGACTGGAGAAACCCAGTCAAGTGCCCACATCTTCAAGGCTGGAGAAAGGCACGACCTCTTCCAAGAGGCCTTCTGTGAGGACTGTCGCTTCTCCCCTGGTCTGAAAGCCCACTGGCGCCAGCCTATGGCATCCTGGACATTCTCAAGCAGAGTGCCTGGCTTGCAGGTGTCCCTGTTCATTTGTCTAACCCACTGGTTTGCCTGCGAGCACGTTAACAGCAAGGACTGAGTCTGACCCATCATTACACCCCCAGGACTGGCACTGAGCGAACCCTCAATGGCCACCGAGAGTATCTGAAAGCTGTGAGTCCCGAGTTCTAGGGGCTACCTGGAGACCAGAGAGCAGCCAGGAACTGTCAGTTGCCTTCTGGACTTGAAGCCTTAGCTGTGACCTAACCCACCTTCCCGGGCCGCTCTTGGCTCTGATGGTGGTGGTGCGGGGGGGGGGGGGGGGGGCACCACTGAGGCACAGGGGAAGCTGCCTGCTGGGCAGCGACTCCCTCAGCGAGGTCTGTGGAGGTCTCCTCTTGGGCAGATGACCCACAGCGAGGGACGGACTGGGGATGGGGAAAGTCCTAATGCTAGGTTCCCACCAAACACCACTGAGCTGGGGTCTACGGGCTTGTGGAGAGGGGATTTGACAGGGCCCTGAGGCCTTCCTCAGGGGTTCCCATTCCCTCGGGGGCAGATTCCTAGGACCTCACAGGTCAGGTGCACTACGTGGGACAGACCTTGGCCTTGACCCCTACAGTTGACTTCTCCTGACCCCCTGAATGTCCAATTCTAGCCCCACATCAGCCCTGCTGAT